AAATCCACTTTTTGATAGACATAACTTTAGTTTCTATGTAATTAATCACCAAAATGCTAGAAGCAGAGCTTTGACTCAAGTGGTAGAATGCTATCTTAAGCAAAAATTTTCAGGGACAACTCCCAGACATGGCAAATCCCAGGTCTGGCACACACACCAAAAATTTAAAAAAAATTTTTTTAAATCATACCTGCCAGGTACTACTAAAGAGGTTGAGATCTTAGGGTTACAGCTTAACTTCAGCCTGGAAGATCTGTGAGACTCTTACTCCAATTACTGTACCTCTTAAATAAATAGAAGAAGAGCTGGACTCCAGTGGTAGAGAACTAGCCTTGAGCAAAATGAAAAGTTGAGGGACAGCACCCAGGCCCTGAGTTCAAACTGTAGGACACAGACATACACACACATACACACACACATACACACACACACACACACACACACACACACACACACACAACTGTAGCTGTTGCTTGTTCTCTTTTTTTCTTGCCAGATTCTTCAGAACAGATATCCAGCTTTATTGGCAGCAGCTGATCACCTTCTCGACATTTATATCCAACTTACTGGAGAGAGGTATCATTGTGAGAGTGATAGTACTGTCAGAGATGAACCCCAGCATGTTTCACAAACTACCACAGAAGGCAGAAGACTAATCCTTGAGGGAAGAGAATTGTCTCTAAGGTATAGATTATGTATTGTTTTTTTTTTTTTTTTTTGTCGGTTGTGGGGCTTGAACTCTGGGCCTGGGCGCTGTCCCTCAGCTCTTCAGCTCAAGGCGAGCGCCCTACCACTTGAGCTACAGCGCCACTTCTGGTTTTCTGGTGGTTTATTGGAGATAGGAGTCTCATGGTCTCTCCTGCCCGGGCTGGCTTTGAACCATGATCCTCAGATCTCAGCCTCCTGAGTAGCTAGGATTATAGGCGTGAGCCACCAACACCCGGCTATGTATTGTTTTTGTAATGACGTTTTAAGACCAGTTTAACTGGAAAGTTATTATAAGCTAGACCCAGATGGTTAATGACTAGTCAGATTTTAAAATTAAACCAGGTTGCAAGAGGCCAGATCCTTTTCTCATGCATACTTAGGGAAGGCATGATAGAAGTAACGATATTTTTGTTGCAAACAAAAACTTTCTGGCAGGCCTGATGATGCAGATTTGTAATTTATGGGAGCCTGAGGAAGGAGAATTGAGAGTTCCTGCCAGCCTAAGCAATTTAGCAAGTTTAAGGGTAGCCTGGAATAAATAGCAAGACCTGTCTCACAAAAACCACAAAACACAAACTTGGAAATAATTGCTAGCATTCATTCACTGATGTTCTTTCTTGTTATCTGGTGTTTTTAATAAGCCTTGAATTTTGTTCTACTTGACTTCTGTGCCTCAGCTCCCCATTTGCAGTTCCGTTTTAATAGCGGAATTTAGGAATGGGTAACTCCTGCTATTTTCACTTGTCTGGTACATATTGGAGGTAACTGTGTAGGTCACTTCATTGTCAGGAAGGTAAGGATTCACTTCTGATATTTTTTATATTAAGTTCAAAGAACAACGAAACAAAAACTTGGATGACATTGTCCAAAAAGAATTGTATTCTCGTGTGGCTCAAATGGTAGAGCCTTGAGAAGAGCTGAGGGTCAACACCCCAGGCCCAGAGTTCAGTCCCCTCCACCAGCCAAAAAAAAAAAGAAAAAAATTACCTGACATGAAATGAAACACCTCTGTACCCCTTAATAATAATAAAATTATGTATATATATGTTTTTTTTAACTAGTGAAGATCATTTATTATCAAGTGTTCCCAAACTTTAGTAGTCCAAATAAACAGATGACTTTGCCTAGGTTCTTTAGAGGGATTTTGTGTTCTTTTGGGGGGGTACTGGGAGTTGAACCTAGGGCTGGATACATGCTAAGAAAACACATTTGAGATAAGTACACCTTCATTTAGGGACAAATTCTTACTACCTTTTCCCAGGATGACCTCAAACTCTTAATCTTACCTATGTTCTTTTATCTTTTTTTCTTTTTTTTTTTTTGAAGGGATCTACTGAATTGGTGCAATAGGATTGCTCATAGCTTTGATAGTTCATCTTCATCAGCGTCATTAAGTATTTTTCAAGAGGTGAGAATCATATTCTTGTCTGTTATCTCTGCTGTAAGTCTCTTTTCTGTCTTTAGATTGTTTTGTGTGTAAGAGAGAGAGTTAGGGGTGGGTGTGTGTGTTTGTGTGTGTGTGTGTGTGTGTGTGTGTGTGTGTGTGTAGCCAGGGTCAGTTGTCCTTAGCTAGTTTCCTTAAAACTAGTTGTATATAATAAATGTTTTAAAATTTTTGAAACAAATAGTTGGTAAAAGTAAAATATGATTTGAGGTAGTATAGAAGAAAGCATTGTGGTAGAGTACTTCATATGTGCTCTGTCAATTGTTATCTACCCCCTTCTGTATATACCTTCTTTCGCTGGGTGATAAATTTATGTTTGATTGTTCTACCTACCTCGGTAGAACTTTGATCTTTTGTCTGAAAAAATTTACTAAGAATTACAAAGTCTAACCTTGAGGAAAATGTTTTTAGGAGAAAACCTCTTATGATGTAAGATTTATTCCTTCTTTCTTAACAAAAGTGTCATGCCTAAAGTCTTCTGGGTTCTTAAAACTTAATTTGACTATAAAGTGTTCTGGTTTATGTCAGCTGAAATTAGAGAATTCTAACCCAATTTGGTCTGTAGTATCCCTTTGTGGTAGTTACTCTGCATAGAAAGAAATGTCTTTTGGGGTATATACTTAGATCAGCTGAAGCCTGAGGTGCTATGTGGCAGTGGCAATCTTTATTGTTGTCTGACGTTTTTTAGTGAATTCCCTTTCTATTCTCATTCATTTCTCACTCATTTTAAATATTTTTGTTGGTGAGATAGCATGTTATATGTAGCCTAGTCTATACACAAATTAGTTATCTTTATGCTTCTGCTTCCAAAGGGTTAGGATTGCAGATGTGAACTATCATGCCTCCCAGGATGCTTGTGTCTGTATATATGCAGTGGCACAAACCTGCAATCCCCATTCCTTGGGAGAATGAAGCAAGAAGATAGCTTGTGACAAGGAATTGGGAGCCACCCTGTGCAACCTAGGAAGCCACAGTTCTTTAAAAACAAAAACCAGCCAGGTGCTGGTGGCTCACACCTATAATCCTAGCTACTCAGGAGGCTGAGAACTGAGGATCATGGTTCAAAGCCAGCCAGGGCAGGAAAAGTCCATAAGACTCCTATCTCCAGTAAACCACTCAGAAAACCAGAAGTGGCACTGTGGCTCAAATGGTAGAGTGCTAGCCTGGAGCTAGCACTCTAGCTGAAGGACAGTGCATAGGCCCAGAGTTCAAGCCCCACAACGAACAAAAAAAAAAAACCCAAAAAGCAAAGAATGGAAGTTTGTTAACATATAATTCTTGTATTATAAAATTCATCCTTCCTTTGTTGCATTCAGGATTTAAAAAAAAAACAATTTTATTGTCACTATTAATGTATTATGCAGAGACACTACCATTTCGTAAGTAGGGTAATGAGTACATTTCTTTACTTTCCTCCAGTTTCCCCCTCCCAACCTTTCCCACAAGTTACATAGGTCATTTTCCATATAGTGTGTACTGAATAGCATGATTGCATTTATTTGTTCATCCTCCCTGGAAGAAAAAAAAACTAAAGCATAAACAGACACCACTACCACCAATAACAAAAAAGACGTTTCCATTTCCTGGAGTTTGTTCCAATAAATAGTATTTTAAACAGAAAAGTTATACCTTTGTGTTTCTTCTCTGAAGATACCCTCTTTAATCTGCTTCTGTGTGAATACCTAGAGTCCTGTATGATTTATCATGTACCAGTATATTTTAAATCTAGTTTCTTCTTAGGAGAAAAAACATGTATCCTTTGTCTCTCTGAGTTTGACTTATCTCACTTAGCATGATTTGTTCTAGGTCCATCCATTTCCTTGCAAATGATATATTCTTATTCTTTACAATGGATGGGTAAAATTCCACACTATGTATACCACATTTTATTAATATACTCATCTGTTAGGGGCATCTGGGCTGTTTCCTTAACTTGTCTATTGTCAGTAGTGTAGCAATGGACATATATGTGCAGGTGTCTTTACCATATCCTGATTTGTAATGATCTAGGTAGATGTCCAGGAGTCGTATGCGTAGACCATAGGGAAGTTCTCTGTTTAGTTTTTTTGAAGAACCTCCAAACCTTCTTCCACAGTGGTTATACTAGTTTACATTCCCACCAACAGTACAGTAGGGTTCCTTTTTCCCTACATCCTGCCAACATTTATTGTTCAAATTCTTGGTGTTAGCCAATCTCACTGGGGGAAGATGGAATCAGAATCTTCAAGTTCTTTAGGTTTTAATTTCCTTTGTGGCAGGAGTGTTGAGCATTTCAGTGTCTGTATGCCATTCTTCTTCTGAGAAGTCTCTCTTAAGCTCCTTTGACCATTAAGTAGTTTTTAGTTTATTAGTAGTAGTTTATTAGTTTTGGGGGATGTAAGGTTTTTAATCTCCTTGCATATTTGGCTTTTGGTGGTTGTAATTGCTGGTGAAGATTTTCTCTCAGTCTGTTGGCTGACTCTATAGTTTATTAACTATATCCTTTGCTGTGCAGAAACCTTTTGTTTCTTTGGACAGGGGAGGGGGAGCTGGTTCTAAGGCTTGAGCGTAGGGCTTAGGCATTGCCTCTGATATTGGTTGATATTGGTGCATGGCAACAAACTGGGGTCCAATTTCAGTTTTCTACATTTGGATGTCCAGTTTTGCCAATACCAATCACTGAAGAGACTATCTTTTTTCCACTGTTCAGATTTGGCTTCCTTGTCAAATTTCAGATAACTGTAAATGTATGGCTAGAGTCTAATCTGTTCCATTGATTTTTCAGGCCTGTTTTTGTGCCAGTACCAAGCTGTTTTTGTTATTATACCAGTAGGGCTTGGGGTCTGGCATTGTGATACCACTAGCATTGCTTTTTTTTTTTTTAACCTAAAATTCCTTTGGCTATTTGAGATCTTTTGTTGTTCCGTGTAAGTTCTTGGATTGTTTTCTGTCTCAGTAAAGAAGGTCATTAATAGGAGTTTTTGATAGGAGTTGCGTTAAATTTGTTGATCACCTTTGGTAGTACCATTTTCACAATATTCTGCCTATCCATGAATTTGGGAAATCCTTTCCATTTCCTCTTCAGTGTCTTTCTTCAGATTTTTATAGTTTTCATTATAGAGGTCTTTCGGTTCCTTGGTTAGATTTATTCACAGATATTTTGTTTTTTGAGGCTATTGTAAATGGAATTGTTTTTCTGATTTCCCTCCGTCTTTTTAACCGTGCAAGGAATAGAACTTGAATTTTGTGCATACTGTTCTATACCACTGAAGAACATCCCTACTCCCTAAAATTGGCAATCAGGAAGATTCCTGGATTTGAGTTTGTTGGGATGTCATGTTATTGATCATAGGTTTAAAGTTAGTTTTGATTCCTTTTTCCTTCTGAAGAGACTGGGGATAGTGCTGAAACTTTCAACCTTCAGTCATGAGCTTGAAAAAAACCTAAGGGCAAACCTGTAGTTAGTACTGTTAGCATAAACTCAAATTCACTTGAAAGGGAATTGTTGTAAATAATAAAAATACCTACTATATCCTTCTTACTTTTGTCCTTTGTGGTTTTTATAATGTTTAAATGTTTAACAGAATGCTTGATGCGTTCAAGCTCAACTTTTTTGGATATAGTCCAGTTTTGGCTTTTAATTACATCAGAATAGATGTTTGCTTAGTCTGCTGGCAGTCACTTACCATTGAGTCTTGAATTAGTATAATGACCTCGTAGTCCCTTTATTGCACACCATTTGCGATTACCTGGATAGTGTGAAGAAGCCTCAGAATAACCTTTGCTGAGTAAATTCTCACCAGAACCATCTTTCTGATGATTAAGTGTAAACTACCTTTTGTCTGAAGAAAGAATTTGCACATTGGTGGTATGGTTTGTTTAAGATTTAACCAGTTTCAGTTGATCCTTTCTATTAGTGTGCTTTCTCTTCATGATAGTGAAACCTGGAATCCAGGATTCATGCCTTTCTTATATTGCTTTTACTTCTGCAGGAATATGTCTACTGTATTTTGTGTTCTCTTTATTGAAGTTGAGATAATGGTGCTTAATCTTTATTTTTTTTTTCATATAATCAGTTGACATTTCCCTTGGTCATTTTAACAGGCCCTGGATTGTTTCACAGCAATGCTTTCAGAGCATTCAAGCAAACTGAAAATAGCAGAAGTTATTGGAAGCAAATTGAACATTTCCAAGAAGAAGGTATGGGGTGCTCTTCTCTGTAAAAAGTAGACAGATATTTAACTTGTTAACTTGTATCTGGTCTTCCTGGGTGGTTTTTGCTGACTTGACTTCTTTGTAAATATTAGTTGTTTGATTACTACTTGTCATGAATCTGAAACTTCTAACATTCCTAGTAGTTTTTCATGTGTTCCACATTCTCTTTGTTATTTTTCTTTTTCTCTTTTTTTTTTTTTTCTAGATGCATGGGCTTGAACTCAGGGCCTAGGCACTATCCCTGAGCATTTTTAAATGCTCAAAGCTAACATTCTACCACTTGAGCCACAGCTCTACTTCTGGCTTGTTTTGTGTATGTGTGGTTAGTTGGAGATAAGAAGTTCAGAGACTTTTCTGCCCAGGCTAGCTCTGAAGGGTGATCCTCAGATCTCAGCTTCTGAGTAGCTAGGATTATAAGCATGAGCCACTGGCTCCATGTGTTCCATATTCTTTTTTTTATTTTAATAATCAAAATTTTAATAAATAACAAGTTTGAAAAACAAACTTTAAAAAACAGCTACATATACCTTAAAAAATAACTTCTTAATTGTGATGAATAGTTTGGTTGGATTTATCTTGGCTGTTCATTTTTATTAGTGTTTTGAATTTATTAATGTTTTGAATTCTTAAACTATTTTAGATATATAACTTATTCTCCAGTGTTTTAGTGACTGTTTTATTCTCTAAGTTATAGATTCAAGTCATGAGCTAGTTTTTACTTAACATCTTTTTCTATAGTTTAGTGCATACTTTCTTCCAAGTTTTTTTTTTAATATGTCCTCAAATACCAGAAAGCTTAAAAAAAATAATAACACAACTGAATGCCTTTTTTTTTTTTTTTTTTTGGTCGGTCATGGGGCTCAACTCTGGGCCTGGACACTGTCCCTCAGCTCTTTAGCTTAAGGCAAGCACTCTACCACTTGAGTCACAGTTCCACTTCCAGTTTTCTGGTGGTTTATTAGAGAGAAGAGTCTCATGGACTTTCCTGCCCAGGCTGGCTTTGAACCGTGATCCTCAGATCTCAGCCTCCTGAGTAGCTAGGATTACAGGCGTGAGCCGCCAGCACCCGGTGACTGAATATTTTTTTATCTTCTATTTAGGTTCATCACTGACTCTGTTGCTTTTGTACCATTCTTTTGTATAAAAATATGTTTCTGGGAATGCAGCTTAGCAAGTGTGTGTTTAGTATGCTTGAGGTCCTGGATTTTATCTTGAAACACCATGGGCATACATACACTTATAGACAAAAGTATTTTTGGAAGAAAGCCTTATCAGATACAGTATTAGTCTGATTGAAGATGAATGTTAATCTAACATTCTTACTTAGGACTAAAAATTTAAAAAAAAAAACAAACATGTCAATACTTCAGTAGTAGAAGTATATTTGTTAGGCTTCTGGAACAGTTGGGCTGCAGATGATAAAGCAGAAAGGGACTTAAAGGGAGGGTACCTATAATAATCATAGTAGGAAGAGAAAGGAGTCCACCATAATTGGTTTTGGTTGATAAGTATTCACCCCCTTTGGTTGGTGAGGAGCTCTCTCTTCTGAATACTTTGCCTCTTCCACTCTTGTCTGAAATGTGAACAAACTTTGTGTTATTCAAGTTAGTGAAAATACAAGAAATGGATGAGTATAGGGTAAACATCCAAAAACATCTGCCACCTCCATCCTCTCCCCCCCTTTTTTTTGTTTCTTTATCATTTGACCACATTTTCCTGCAATGTTAGTAATTGTTTTGTTTTGTTTTATGAAACCTGGTCTTAACTATATAGTGTAGGCTGTCCTGCCTGGAACTCAGTCTTACCTCAATCTCTTGAGTGTTCAGATACAGTTATTTGTTACCATGCCTAGCTTACGTTAGAAATTTAGAGTAATGAAAGTGATGATTGGAGAAAAGCTTTCTTTTTTTTTTTTATACATTAAGTTAGCAATAGAGGCCTTTGTTCTCCATTGGGACATGTTAACATATTCACATTAGATGTAGGTAAGGCGTCTTTGAATGAGCAAGAGGTGCTATTTCAAGGATGTACCATCAGTACTTTTAAGAAACTGACATTTGGGAAAAGTTGAATTATAAGCTAACTTAACTATTGTGGAAATTGACAGTGATTCTTGGTAAAGGATTAGTTAGAAGACACATTGAGTTTGTATGAATAAGGACATGTTCAGAAAGCATGCAGATGTTATACTCAGTTTAAAATTTTTCCTTGACAGGCTGAATTCTTCTGTCAACTTTATAAGCCAGAAATTGTGATCAATGAGCTAGACGTGCAAATAGGTCGTGTGAGGCTTCTTCGGAAACAAAGTGAGGCTGTGCTGATACAGAAGTAAGTATGGAGGTTGGGAAGGAGGCTCAGTGGTAGAGTGCTTGCCTTGTATGCTTGAGGCCCTGGGTTCGATTCCTCAGCACCACATAAGCAGAAAAAGCTGGAAGTGGCACTGTGGCTCCAGTGGTAGAGTGCTAGCCTTGAGCTCAAGAGCTGAGGGACAACACCCAGACCCAGACTTGAGGCCCCATGACTGGCAAAAAAAAAGTAAGTATGGCTAGAAACTAACCTGTATACCATGCCGTTTTTAGGAGCTTGCTTAGAAGGTTTAGTCTAGACCCTCATGCTAGAGTAAAACAAGTCTGAACTTTGTCTCTCCAGTATGCTAGTAGTGAGGAATAGAGTTTCCTGGAAAAATGTTCTGTAAAAGTAGATTTTTAATAGGTAAAGCAGACAAGAAAACACAGGGGAATATAGACCAGCAAAGGTGAATCTTTGAATTTACTCATTTAAAGTGAGCTAAAAATCCAACTCTTGCTGTGTCTTTAAGTTTCAACAAAACTGAATTATATAAGGTTCTAAGATTGATAAAATACTTTCTACAAACTTACTATATTTCTGACATTGTGCTAGATGTTTTGCATTTGCTTTTCCATATAGTAGTCTTACAAACTAGTATGGTTGTGTTCTTGGACTGCCATTACAAATTTCCATAAATTTGTTTATCAACAGCCATTATTCGCCAACAGATTTAGAGACCAGAAACCTGCAGTTAAGGTGCCCTCTGAAAGGCCTCAGGGAGGTGCTTTTTTGCTCATTTCTGGTTTCTTTAGGTTCCTGACAATGTTTGATATACCTTGACTAGTCTCTGTCTTCAGTGTTAAATGACCTTTTTCCCTGTTTTTCTGCTTACTAGAGCACCAGCAGTTGGGTTTAAAGCCCATTCTAATGTTACCTCAACTTTATTAAACCTGTAATGATCTTATTTTATAACAAGTCACATTTATAGGTTCTGGGTAGACTAAATTTGGGAGATTTCAGTATATTATAGATAGGTACTATCTACATTTTATAGGTGAAAAGACTGAAGCTAAAGCAATTTAAGCGATTTTCTCAGGACACGTAGGACAGGTGACAAGTTACTAACGTTTTGAATATCTAGAGTCTTGCACTTTACTAGCTATATAAATAGTGTAGAGTGATTTTGTAGTTCATATGTTGTAAGAATATCTTTGAGCATAAAGACAATTGTTCCGATCTATTTTCCCATTTTTCTTTGTTAAACTGGGAAATCTGATTTTATCTAGCAATACTATGAAATGCTTACAGAGTGATTTTCTTTTAAAATTTTCCTTTCAGTGCTTAGATTGAACCTAGTACTATGTCAGTGCTCTACTACTGAACTAATTTTCCTGGCCCTTCTGTATTGTGTATGTGGTAGAATCTTTTTTTTCCTGAGTGAAAAATGCTGTTTTAATTACAGCTAACTTTAAGACCTTACATTCACACACTTTATGCAGTACTACTTTTCAGAGAGGAAAGAGGCAATCAGCTCGTTAGGTCTGAAATGATTTTAACAAGTCATTGCTAAAACTCAGTGTTACATCCTTGGTGCGTCAGTTGAGGATGGAGGAATGAGCCTTATTTTTTGTCCATGGTCTGTCCCTGTCTAGGTCTCAAGGTCATACAAAGCCCCAGAGCACTGAGATTGCAGTACAGGTCAAGTTTGACACGTTACAAATGTTCTTTTGACTTTCTCATTTATAAGTTCAGGAAGCCTTTTTGGGTATAAGAAAGTTGAGTCTGCCTTTCAAAAGAAGGCTGGTTGACTCACAGGAGTACTAGGCTGGTTAGTACTGTAGATGTGAGTTCAAAGTACTCAGGAAAACAGACCATTTTTGTTGATAGAGGACATCTGAAATGTTCACTGTGGCTTTATCCTTACTGAGACTGTCCTCATTGCCTGGAGTTCTTGGAGGCTGCCTTGGCCTAGGATTTTATGGCTGCTGAATCAATTATCCAACTTCTAACCATTTAGTCATATGCTAAGTAAATTGCCAGTTTGGCCTTAAACTTGAGAACTTCTTGCCTTATTTTTCCTATGTAGCTGGGATTGCAGGCAGCATTAGGCCTGGCTCTGACTGACTTTAAATTTCTTTTTTTAAATTCCTAGGGAGAAGTTCACATTTGCTGCCACTCGTCCATCCTCTGTTCTCATTGAACAGCTCGCTGTGTGTGTCAGCAAAGGGGAGCCTGTATTGCTGGTGGGAGAGACTGGAACTGGCAAAACCTCTACTGTCCAGTATTTGTCTCACATTACAGGTAATAATGGCATAACTCTGCCCGTAGACTTTTTTTTAAAAAAAAAAGAAAAAAAAACGTGTACTTGTGTTTAGCCAGAAGCCAAAGGCTTATACCTATAATCCTAGCTACTCAGGAGGCAGAGATATGATGATTGTACATCAAAGCCAGCTTGGGCAGATAAATCTGAGACTCTTCTTTCCACTGCACCAGGAAAAAGCCAGAAGTGGGGTGTGTGGCTATAGTGGTAGACTGACACTATAAGAAAAACGCCTGGCAAGAGTGCAAAGCCCAAGTTAAAGCTCTAGTTACTACCAACAGAGACACACACACACACACACACACACACACAGAGTTTAAAAGTGGCATTGATACTCAGTACTAATCACATACTCCATATAACTAATCACATACTCCATATAAGCAAGTTGGAGAAATTTTAAAGATATTTTATTTCTTCTAATAGCCAAAAAATAATTATCCACTATGTACACTTATCTGGACATCAGTTTATTGAAGAATCTTTTATTGTTTGCAATTACTTCAAGACTTTAATCCTAGAGCTGATCTTTTTAAAATAACATCTGTGTTAGGTACAACTTTGAAATTGTGATTCTTGAAAGTAAAATTGGTGTATCAAGAGAAATGCACATTTAGAGCTTTAGACTTATGCTATGTCCCCCTCTACATCCTTAAGAAGTAGAGTGGGTATTCATCCTTAAGAAGCAGAGTGGGTATTAGCCTTTTTAAGTATTTGGAATAGCTCTTTTTCTATTTTGTTTTTTAAAGGCCACCGTCTAAGGGTTGTCAATATGAACCAACAAAGTGATACTGCAGACTTGCTAGGAGGGTAAGTGTGTTTAAATTTATTTTCTTATTTTTGTTTACTACTTAAGAAACCCTGATTTCTTACCAAGCTCAAACCCAGCCTGAGAAAAACAAAGTTTTGAAACCTTTACCCCACAGCAGTAAGACATTTATTGAAAAAAATTTTTTTTTATTGAAATTGAGACTTTTTTGTTTATGTAGCTATTTCATTCATTTTAAATATCATTTAAGATCTTCCTTTCAAAGGTGATAGATACTCTGAAAGGAGGAGTAAAACCCATACAAGTGTATAATCATCAAATGTGGTGTACATAGTAATTGACCTGTTATTTAACTTCTAGAATTATGTCATATGCCTTCAATATGTTTCTGTAATTGCACTATATTACTGTGTATTTCTCTCTAGTCTAGCCTGATCTACATATGTCATTAGTCATTTTATGCTTTCAAAGATTCCCAACAATAATCTTAACTGTTGCAGTTGGGACTTGAATTCAGTGCCTTGTGTTCTTGCTTAGCTTTTTCACTCAAGACTTGTGTTCTACCATTTGAGCCATACCTCCTCTTTTGTGTCAGTAGATTATCAGTTACTCAAAGAAAACATTACATATTTTTCAGTTTTTTTATGGTTGGGATTTTACCTTATTTTCTATAATCTTAATAGCAAGTTTTATAAATGTAGTCTTTTAATATATATCATATTGTAGCTATAAAAGTGACATCCTAGGCATATTTGGCAAGATGCAAAGTAGTTTTTAAAAAGTCAAGGGATTGGTAGATATAATTCAGGAATATGCAAGGACATAGACTAGAGACAGGATAATATTCCTGTGATGTGTAAATGAAGGCTTGTCTTGTATAACTTAAATTGAACATACATTAAGTATTATATTTGAATGTATTTAAAATAGAATATTTACTTTGTTCTTTTCTGGAGACAGGGTCTTAATAATTAGTCTAGGCTGGCGTGGTACCTACCATGTGACCTCAAATTTGCAATCTTCTACCTATGCCTTTCAAATTCTAGTATTTATACATATACTGCTATGCCCTACTTAGAAATAGAAAATATAGGGCTGGGAAGGTGACTCTGTGGTAGAATGCTTGCCCTGCATGCATGAGGTCCTGTGTTCAATTCCTGAGTACCACATAAGCAGAAAAAGCTGGAAGTGGCACTGTGGCTCAAGTGGTAGAGTACTAGCCTTGAGCTGAAGAGCTGAGGGACACTCCCTAGGCCCAGAGTTTAGACCCCCATGACTGGCACCAAAAAAAAAAAAAAAGTGAAAAAAGTAGAAAATATGTATAGACCTAGTCAGTCTGCTTTACAAATACCGGTCCTTGAAATTGACTTTTTTTTAATATTATATGTAAAGACACTATAACATTGAGTAACTTAGAAATCATCAAATGATTTATAGTAATGCAGATTGCTTTTCAATCTTTGTGAACATTATTCCTTGTCCTTTAATCAATGTTAGCTAGCATAATGTATTTCCTCCCCCCCTCTCCCCTAGATTCAGGAGTGGGTCTGGAACTCAGAGCCATACCAGGTTATGCAAACGCTTTATCTTTGAGCCATAATTTGGCCTTTTCAGTTTTTTTTTTTTTGTCAGTCATGGAGTTTGAACTCTGGGCCTGGGCACTGTCCCTCAGCTCAAAGCTCCCACTCTGAGCCATGGCACCACTTCTGGGTTTCTGATGGTTAATTGGAGATAAGAGTTTCACAGACTTTCCTCCCCAAGCTGGCTTTGAACTGTGATCCTCAGACCTCAGACTCCTGAGTAGCCCGGATTACAGACATGAGCCACCAGTACCCAGCTTCACTTAATTTTAAACTTCGTTTTGCCATTACATTTGAAATTGCCATTACATTACGAAGGCTTCTATTATCTATAGGTAGAGCATGAGAGCAAATTTCAAGAGAATTAGAGGTGGAAAGAGTTACTTTCAGGGGAAATGGCCCTTCCATTTTTATATTATATCACACCTGAGTCATATAAAATTATCAAAACAGGCACAATAGTCCTTGAGAAGCCAATAAGAAACATGACAGCCTCTAGACCCAAAATTTCCCACCCCTCAATTCAGAGACTGAAAGAGAAGCAGAGAACTTAAGAGGTGGCACATACAATCACTTTAGAGAAACTTTACCTTAAGTAGCATGATATAGTATACAGGTTCATAGCACTGACTCCAGGGAAAGGGCTGGAAGAAGTTGGCAATGAAAAAAAGAAATACAATAGTGAGAAATTAAAAAATATTACAGACCCTAAGTTCAAGCTTCAGGACTGGCACAGAGGGGGGGGACGGGGACGGGGACGGGGGGAGGGGAAGGGATTGGGTGGGGGAGAGAGAGAGAACCATGTGCAGCTACACAACAGAGTGAACTTTGAACTCAGAATCCTTCAATGAAACGAAGAAATAACATTTCATCATTTATTCCCAATACCTCATATATACTTCTGTGTTTCTCTTATACTTTATTTGTAGCTTGGAAAATCATTTCTTTTTGTGTTAGTCATTTTCAAATGAACTTGTGTGTGTGTGTGTGTGTGTGTGTGTGTGTGTGTGTATTTAGTTATTTTTGGTGCACTCGTATTCGAACTCAGAGAATTGTACTTGCTAGGCAAGCATTCTATTTGAGACACTTAACATCTCAGGTTCCTTCATTTTTTCTTTAGAGTTTTGTGCTTTTGCCCAGGTAGGCCTGGACTTAGCTCCTCCTCCTCCTCCTCCTACCTCTCTCTGGGATAACTGGAAGTGTAGGCATGCATAACCATACCCAGCTTACTTATTAAGATAAGTTTCCAATTTTGTCTGAGTTTACCTCAAACCTTGAACCTCTCAATCTCTGCCTCCTTCCTTCACTCCCTTTGTCCATCTCTCTGCTGCCTCCCATATAGGGTACTTGGGATTCATCCTTGGACATTATACATGCTAAGCATACATTCTGCAACTAACATACAACCTCACCTTGTTTTTTATTTTACATTTTTATTTTTTCCATCAACTGAAGCATGTCTGACTTAACTGCTTAATAACAATGCTCAGAAATAAATAAACACCTTTCTATTTTTTTTTGGATCCGGTTGTGGGGCCTGAACTCTGGGCCTAGGCGCTGTCCCTCAGCTCTTCAGCTCAAGGCTAGCGCCCTACCACTTGAGCCACAGCGCCAATTCCGGCTTTTTTCTTTCTGCTTATGTGGTACTGAGGAATCGAACCCAGGGCCTCATGCATGCAAGGCAAGCATGAGCCACCTTCCCAGCCCCAACACCTTTCTTTTTTTAAGGAATGTGACCTAATCAGAAACATTTATACCACCTCTATAAATTTAGTAGACTGCTAATAGCAGAGGCAATTTCTATTAGTCATACTAGTCATTTATAACAGTCATTAGGAGCCTTGAACTGTTTTAAGTTCTTTATACATGAAATATTTTGCTTTTCTAACAGCCCTGAGCTACAGATACTAGAAATGGTTTCAGTGAAGTCCTATTTTTTCACTTTCCTTGTACTTCCTCTATTATTCTAGTTATTATTTTGTCTATTCAGTGCTTCTGTCTGCTTCTATTCTCCAACTCCTACAATCTCTTTTTATTTGGTAGTCAGCCATGGATTCATTGGTCTTTTCATTTTTGAGACTAGGTCTATCTCTGTCTCTCCCTTTCTCTCTGTCTTTCCCCCTCACTTCCCTTTTCCTCTCTCCCTTTCTCCCTTATCCCCTCTCCCTCTTGTCCAGACTAACCTCCAACTTGTGAGCCTCTGAATTTTGAAACTACATGTCTAGATGTTAACACTATGCCCAGGGAAAATGGACCCCTAGAGTGACATCAGGCCATGCTACTCTCCTCAAATCCATCCATTGATTTCTTAGACCATTGGGAATATAACCCAGAGGATTTATTTGGGCCCTAAACTTACCCTTCCTCATCTGGCCTTGGGCATTCTTTCTGCTGTGATGCACCCAAGAGTTTCCACTCACTCTTCCTCTTCCTTTCATTTCTTGCTATCCACTTCACTGACTTGTTCATTAGGTCTTTCTGATGTCTCCTCTACAGCCAAGCTGGCCTGACAGTGATATGTAAACTATCAAATAACCCGGACTATCATCCACTTTCCTTTAACTCTACTCTTAACAGCACTTAAGCTACTGTTTTATGTAAAGTAACATAACAAGGGAAAAGATCTCAAGAAACACTTCTCCAGACAGAAGATAATTGACTTAAGTATAAGGAAATGAGAATACACATGTTGAGTTCATTCATTTATTCAAATGAACTTAGCTTTTTCACCTTTTAATTCTCTTTCATTTAACTGTAAGCTATAGTAAAACATGACCTTGTCAGTGCTGTTGTCTTTATACTCACATTAGGTACTCAGTAAATTTTTAGAGTGAAAGAAAGAATTGGCTTTTTCAATGTGCTAGTGCTTTAGGGGAAGTGAAAATGAGATTGAAATTCCCATATTTTTCTCTAGAAACGGACTTGAAAATATATACATACAACTTTCTTTCTCACTTCCCAGAAGCATTTCATTCTGCTTGAATAACCTTTAAGCAAGACCAGTGTTGGTGCAATTACCTTATTTTACTCCAATATTGAATCAATTTATTTCCCTAGCTAGAGAAATTTGGAGTAAGCTAAGGAGTAAGAAAAATCTAAATACTAAGACCTGCAAGATAAGGTTTGGATGGCCACAAACCATTTACTGAGATAGAGCTTCTATGTATCCCTTCCCCCACTAATATTTTTCTCCTCTAGTTTTTCTTCCATTGGCAATAATCGTTTCCAACTGGAAAAACATAGATTTATCATTTTGTTGTATTTTTCTAAAACGTCCTGAAAACCGTGTGTGTGTGTGTGTGTGTGTGTGTGTGTGTGTGTGTGTGTGTGTGTGTGTGTGTGTGTGTGTGTGTGTGTGTGTCATACGTGCTAGCTTGCTAGCGGAGTGCTACACTTTGATTCATACCTCATCCATTTGTTTTTTGTTTTTGCGCCTGTCCTGGGGCTATCGAAGTGCTCCACTTTGAGTCATACTTATAGCCATTCGGGTTTTTGTTGTTATTTTCTTATGTGCCAGTCATGAGGCTTGAACCCAGGGCTTGACCCTGAGCTTCTTTTGCAAGCTCCACTTCTGGTTTTTGGGGTATTTAATTGTAGATAAGAGTCTCTTGGACTTTCCTGCCCAGGCTGGCTATAAACCACATCAGATCTCAGCTTCCTGAGCAGCTAAGATTACAGGCATGAGCCACCAGGCCCAGCACTTTATTGCTTTTTGATAGGATCTTACATCCCCCTACCCAAAGCTAGCCTGCAGTACAAAAACTTCCTATCTACTCCTCCCATGTAGCTGGATTTACGTGTTCAAGTTACTGCTTCTGACTTCGGAAAAATTTTCAGTCATACAAAACATGGTTTCTGTTTAAGTTCCATGCATACATGTTGTTTTAAATGTTCCAATAACAGAAATAACATAACTTATTCTTGAGTTAGAAATTTCAGTTTTTTTTTCTTTTTTTGATGTCCAGAGTTCTGGCCCTGAGCTTTTTGCTCCACTTTGCACTTTTTAGTGGCTAATTGGAAATAAGAGTCTCAGACTTTCTTGCCTGGGCCACCTTTGAATTGTGAAATTCAGAATCCACCTTTCTGAGTAATTAGGATTATAGATATTTAGGATTATAGATGTGAGCTACTGGACCCCAGCTTCAAATTTTCATAATCTACTTATCATTTGTTTATCTTCGAAACTTAGGGTAAGAGAATTATTTATAATCTTTATTATGTAAATATGTATGTATATTTATATTACAGCATAAACCATAACATAGGTTGATTTTTATTTTTGTGAGTTCTGCTTTCTAATTTCTTTTAGAAGTTTGTACATGACATTTGGCTTTTGTTTCAGTTATAAGCCAGTGGACCATAAACTTATTTGGCTACCCTTACGTGAGACATTTGAGGAGCTCTTTGTCAAGACCTTTTCTAAGAAACAAAACTTTACTTTCTTGGGACACATTCAGACCTGTTACAGGCAGAAACGCTGGCATGATCTTCTCAAATTGATGCAGCATGTCCACAAGTCTGCTGTTAACAAGGAGGAAAAGGAGAGTGAGACAGGTGAGCTCTACTACTGAGCTATATGCTGTATGCCCAGCCTGTGGGAAAGCGAATTAAGAGTACATATATATGTGTATGCAAGTGAACTAATTAGTGTAATCACTGACCCATAATTAGCACTATGTTCACATCTTGACTTAGAATTTTACTGATTTTTTCATGTGTGAGTGCCAATAATAAAGGGGCTTGAATGCTAAGTGTGGGCACTATTCCTGAGATGTTTTGCTCAAGGCGTGTGTGCTCTAGCACTTGAGCTATAGCTCTACTTCTAGCTTTTTTTTTTTTTTTTTTTTTGTGGGTTATATGGCTTGAACTCTGGGTTTGGGTGCTGTCCCTCAGCTCTTCAGCTTAAAGCAAGTACTCTACTGCTTGAGCCACAGCGCCACTTCTGGTTTTCTAGTAGTTTATTGGAGATAAGAATCTCATGGACTTGGGGCTGGGAAGGTGGCTCAGTGGTAGAGCGCATGCCTTGCATGCCAGAGACCCTGGGTTCGATTCCTCAGCACCACATAAGCAAAAATAAAAAAAGCCGGAAGTGGCGCTGTGGCTCAAGTGGTAGAGCGCTAGCTTTGAGCT